AGCAAGATGCCACAGAGAGTAAATGGACATCTTGACCTTTGTAGGGTCCATAGCAAAGAGAGTGAGTTTGGTATTTTTTGTTGTGAAGTATCTGCTTCTCAGGCAAGAAAAGTCTCTGTTGCATGCTGGGTGAACTTTTATTATTTTTATTTTAAACAATGTTTACATGTTAAATTTTTTTTTTTTTTTATTATTATTATTATTATTATTATTCATGATGATAATAATAATAATAATAATAATAATAATAATAATAATGATGATGATGATGATGTCCCTACAATCCCAACCTTCTGTATTGCACCAAAGATATGTTGGAGTATTCTGATGCCTGCTTAGGAATTTTTGCAGGTAAATGGACAATTTTTGCTCTTGTGCAAAGGTACTAGCAACTCAGGCAGTCACCCTGGGCACCATCATTCCACTGTCATGTGTTTTTGGATCTTCCAAAACTAAAGTCTTCAATAGGATAATGAATGTTTTCTTTAGCTTGTATTAAGTTGTATATTGTAATAAACTTGTTATTCTACATATTCAGTTTTTCTCCTGAAAATTAAAAAAAATTTACTTGTAAGAGTGGTAAAGTCCTGCTTGCTGGGATACCAGCAACTCTACACTGTTGCTGCATATAGGGGTACTTCAGATGACCATGTGTCACATCCTACCAATGTGAGGATGAGTGGTTGTAAATATAGACCTCAAGAAGAACTCATTTTGCTAATCCATTGGTAAAGCTGCTGGAAAAAAAAACAGTTGGCTCATTTTACTGCTCCAGAAAGTATCTGACTCCTTCAGCCATGCTCTATCCTTACAAAAATCAAAAATGGAGTATTGCTGCCATGTCCAACTGGAGCTACCCAAATCTTCCTTTTCAACCTTGATAGAATTCAAAATCATTTATGCTGTCTTATGGGTGATGATGTCGCGGCCGCCATGAGCCACTCCTTAGATAAACAACCTTGACCTTTCACAATCCCTGATCTCACAGATTTAAGTCAAGCAAGATGCGAGAAACCGGACGACTAGTCCAATATGGTTGAGTCCAAACTGTACCTCGTGAGCATCAGATTAGGCAGCGCTTTTTTCAAACATCAAACAACATTGGGATTAATTTAATATCTATCGTTTTCTACTCCTTCTAGCCAGGGAGTACTTGAATAAATCGTTTTACATATTGTTAGCCCCTTTTTTTGTCCAAACCCAGGCTGCTCGGCCCGGGGGCTAGGATCAAAGTGTAGTACGCTACCTTTGTAAGCTCCCAGTGCCTTCATTGAGAGAATAATCTTCGGTATGATCCTATTTCCACAGTTGATCTGCCCTGGAAGACGTATCGCCTCTTTGACCCAGCTTCAAGTGCTATCCCTTCAGCACGATCCCGTCACTGCAGTTGATCCACCCTGTGAAGTCATATCACTATTCTGACTCGGCCCTGTTTAGAGACTCGTCTTAACTGATACAACGAATCTTAGTGCGACATCAATCAACCTGCTGCTGTTCCCGACAATTCTCCCATCCGGCAGTTGACCAGCTACCTCCACCAACCAATTCTACATTCATTTCGCTGATACAACCAAAATCAACTACCCCTACACAAAACCAGTCATACTGGACCCAACATGATACAAACATATTTCTCCAGAGTACACTCTTGTACATTTTAGATAAATAAAATCGACGTTATTGTTTCTTAAACTCTTGCCTTTGTTTCCTGATTGTCTTAGCTGTTCACAGCTTTCTACATAAAGCTTGTGGTGGCGACATCCTTATCGGCCCCACAACAATGACATATTTCTCACTCTGCAGCCTTTTTCTTGCAGACATAATGTTGCAAGCCCATCACCATTCTATCACTATTTCCATGGCAAATGTTCAGATGAGCACTCCATTCTTTAGTTCTACGAGTTCAGACCTTTACAGCTAGGAGATGTCATCTACCTCCATAGAGTTGAAACACCATCATTTCTTCTGTATTCCATTTGTAAGGAGGTACTTAAAATTAGCTTTTTCCTGTGAAGATCTACTTTCAGGAACAAATTCCTGCTTGTTTAAACACTATAATTTTAACTTTTTCAAATCAAGGGTCAATTGTTGTCTATTGTCATAATTGATATGTAGTCCTGTCAAAGAACATACTATACAGCTAAGGAAAGGATTGTTCACATTGACTTGATGATCCCAACTATGGTTGACTCCTGTTTTTTTTCTATTTCTTACATTCATATCACACGCCTCATTCAGTAACCCTCTACATTGAGTGGATCTTGAGCCTTGTATTGGGTGAACTGTAGATGAGCTGAGCTTGTCCCTGAGGATTCCAACCTTATAACAGTACCTCTCCATTATACTAATGAGAGGGTGCTGGTGTACTTGATGCCTGCATAAGAGTGGTTGCAGAGATTTAACAATGTTCACTGAATGTATGAGTTTCCTATGTGAAACTGACCATATGTCTGTGAAAATATGAGAGGGTGAAAATTTGCTCTTGTAAAAATATTCAACTCATCCACAAAGAAAAAGAAAGGGAAAGTAGAAAGCAGATAATATAAATCCAAAATCTTTATATTCCAGAAATTGTTGAGGTCCATACACACAAGCCACTAGTGGCCTGCTGACAGCAATCCACTGGTGGCAGCAACCAGCAGGCTACTGGTGGGCCTTTAGTGGTCTGCTAGTGGTAACATTGCCATGATGAACATGTCAGTGGTCTGACAGCGGTAAACACTAGTGGCATGCTGCTCAGTGGCAAATTGGTGGCTTGCATGTAAAGATGTTTTACAAAAATTGTTTTTCCTTTTTTTATAGTCCATGTGGTAATAAAATAAGCACATCCCATCCCCCCTCTTGCTTGCAACCATCCAACACAATAAAATAAATGTTTTTCAGCACTAAAGTAGAATGAGCGAAATACAAATAGTTTCTTCTTATGGAGACAGTTTTTGTATGACAGGAAATAAACAATACAGAGGAAGATTTCTTAATGACTTAAACTGCTACATCTGACTGCAACTCATGTTATCACACAGACTACATGGACTCTGACTGCTGCTTTGACTGACTGACTACTTGATATGTTGTCCTTTAGACCAGGCACGTGGACATAGTAGTGAACACAAGAATATTTGTTATTTGTGAATATTAAATAGAAAAATGCACAGTTCTATTTGAATGTGTGTTACTTGAAGAGCATATAATTTCCAATAACTTAATGATTATATGAGCTTAAAAGCTGAAACTTTACAGATAAATAATTTTGACATATATTTTAAATGCTGTGCAACTTTTATCATTTTTCAAGAATTATAAGTTAATTAAATTTTATTTTAAGTTGGTATCCAGTCAATAAGGATATTGCATCTTAATAATTTTCAATAAAAAGAGGTTTTTATTTTATATGAAACTGATTAATTAATAGAATATGTTCTAATAATGTGTCTGCTATAATTTAAATCTGTCCAATTTGTTTATAAATATAGGATACATATGATCATTTAAATATTTCAATCAAAATCAACATGGGAGTTGTTATTTGAAGTGTTGTGGTAACATATTTCCTACTGACAAAATTGATGGTAAAAGCATTTTGAATTTTAAAAATGTTATTCATTTCAAACAAGTAAAATGATAATAACTATAGCAATTAATCAATGATCAGTATTGTTTAACTTTAATGCTTGAAGTGATAATCACTGAGTGAAAATATATTTAAGAATAAAAAACAAAAAAAACTCTCCATTTGAATATAACCAAGGGGAAATAAATGCTGATAAAATTTTTTTAATTTTCTAAATTTGATTATTTTTAATAATGTTTTTTTTTTTAAAAAAATAATGTTTAGATTAAATCAAATAATGCTCATTATAGTAAAAATCAAATGCTCCTTATTTTTAAATTTCATCCACAGTCACTTTTTGCTGAAACTGAGATTGAATTCATTCTTTTGGGTTCAATCTATCAACCTGCTATTTTTAACAGAGCTGTATTGTCTAAAATCATTAGTCATTAATTTTCAAAATAAATCAAAAAATTTCATTATACATCTTTTTCTGAAATATTAGCTTCTGACAATTTTAGGTATGTCTTATACACAGAAAAAGTCTATAAATCTCATTCCAAGTGCAAAAGCAAATAAAAAGAATTGTGTCGGTGGAGTAATGGATATCAGCTCGAATTGAGAAATCGGAGAGCTGAGTTCGAATTCCAGTCGAATCCATTAGATTCACTTAGGAAAGCTATGAATCCTCTTCTTCTCCCCCAAGCTATGGGTAAATAGCATGACAGACCAGGTTCTATAGCCTTGGATGGCAAATGGCCTACCGCAGAAAGAAATGGCAACATACTGTGGGCGGAAAAAAAATCTGCCTCGTCAGTCATGTATCAAAAGATACATGATCGCCTAAGCGTGTATCATGCATGGCACATAACTGATATAACTGACTGACTGTATTTAAAATCAAACCCCCAAAAAGGTTTACAATAAGATAATGTAATTAAAAAAATTTTCATGATCAGATGCTAAAAACATACAGAATCAGGTATCTTTAAAACTTAAATATATAATTTAGCACCGATATTTTTTATTTTGTGAAATGTTATTAATGTCCACCTGCAAGTGTGATTTAATTTTTTTTAATTTTGAAAAGTAAAACCTATGAATATTAAATTTTAAGAAATATATATCAACAAGAAAAAATACCATAAATAAAATTAATAAATAAATTATTGTATAAATAATCTATTTATAGAAACTGAATTTTTTTTTTTATAAAGAAGTTATGTTCCCATCTGAATATGAGATATCGTAAATATTCCTAGTTATGATCGTATTATTTTTAATAATTCAAATTTATTATTCATCGTTACTAGTGTAGTGTATCAAATAATGTGTGAATTTTCGATTAATCATGTCGAATATATGCTGCAAATGCTGCTTTAGTTATGTCTTATTAACTTTCAACTTCCTGTCGACTTTCGTCAACATGGCTAACAATCCAAGTGACCGCATGCAAAAAGTGAACATGCAAAAGGAATTTGAAAATCTGAATGACTCACAGAAATATTTCGTTCGGAAGTTAGAAGAAATTAACAGAGAACGGGCACAAACTGTTAAGAACTTAAAGAGGCGTAACCTTTTTACGGGTTTCCTTATCGGTGGATGTGTACTTTCGATTTGTATCCTTGTCTTCACAAATTGTTCTTTACAGATTTAAACTATTTTTTCCATTCAGTAGAATTCAGATTTTTTTTCGGAAATATAATAAAATTGACAGTAAAAAGATTATATTTATACATTCTGTAGTATTTTAATAGAACGTAATTTGATAATTTACTATAAAAAAAAAACCAAACAAGTTGTGTCTCTTGTTTTGAAGGTGAAACTTTGCAGGTACTTGTTGTTTAGTTTACGTCATCATATTGTTATTGTTATATAAAAAATAGTCTTTACTTCACTTTATATTTGAAATTATATATATATATATATATATATATATATAATATATATATTTAAAAAGAAAAATATTTTAAAAATACTTGTGTGTTACTGTTATTAATTAACAGTAACACTAACAGTTGTAGCTTTATTTTTTTGCTTAGCTTTTTCCTTGTAAAAAATGTTTGCTCGTATTTTTCAATATTTTGTTAGTTAATTTGTAGTGTATTATATTTCTATTGTTATCTTTTTTCATCAGCAGTATAAAACAAAATATCTATTACACTCTAATTTTAGTTTTACGTGTCGAGTCAAGATAGAAAAACTAAAAACATGATTTCGGCTGTCGAAATGTCAAACTTCTTTTAGTTGATGTTGATGCGTGCGCTCACAATATCTCGACATTATTGAAAAATTATATATATGTTTTGAACAATAAAAAATATTAAAAAATTAAAATTTTCAGACACATTGGGTTGTATTTCAATACTCTTTGTTTTATTTTTATGATATCAATTATGTTTCTCGACTAGTTTCGGCCAGCATGGCCATCATCAGGAGAAAAAAACCCTGCTTGTCAGTAGTAGTGAATGATTGTCTCTGAAAAAGTTTTCATTTGTTTTGTTTTGTTTTTTATCGTTAAATTTGGTCAGTCCTTGTATTAGTTAAACCGAACCGAAACGAAACGGCCTCTTTCAAATTGTTTTTAAAATAAAGGCTGGGAGATTCTTGAGTCTCAAAATTCTCTCCTTAGTCATTTTGACAGTTTTATTGGTTGCTAGGAAGGGGAAGTGTATGTTATCTTTTAGTTCTTTGGGAGTGTGTATGATGTGTAATGACTGTGTGTATAAGTGTGAGACCCCAACACCTCTGCAAGCATGTCTGTCTTGTATAGGTGAGAAATGTGGGTAGGGCTTGATTCATGGGGTTATATATTAATTCTATCTATGTTAAATTTCTGGTTAAGCCCATCTGGATGAAGTGTTTTGACGTGCAAAATCCATTTGTCTTCATGTTCCTCTAGTATTTTTCTAAGATTATCTTTTCTGTCTATTTCTATTTTTTCAATTATAGTGAATTTTGCATGGCTTTTAAAATCATGTTTTTCTAGGCAGAAAACAGGTAATAATATTTCGTGGGGAGGCAACATGATCCAATTCTGATAATTATTAATTCTCTAATGAAAGGCCATTCAGATTTTCCCACATATTGTTTCTGGCATAGTGTGCATTCTAATAGGTATATATATATATATATATATATATATATATATGACAAAGTGGGAAAAGTTTTCTTGTCACACATTTCATCTTTAAGTTTTCTTGTGACGCATTTTGTCCTTAACAACGAAATGTGTCACAAGAAAACTTTTTCCACTTTGTCATACATTTTTTTCCCAATATTGCTCTTGACATATAAAAAATATATATCGTTATCTCATATATATATATATATATATATATATATATCATATCTTTCATACATATATTTACATCTCGTATTCGTACTTAATTTTTGAAAATGTGTTGGCCCCTTTTTCCTTTTTAATTATTTCTCTTAACTTCATTCAGATTTATATTCTATGGTTGCAGTTCGGCAAGAGAAATTCCTTGATGATTTTGACACTGTTCCAACAGGAAAGAAAACAACAACATGAAGAAATATTCTCAGAACATCATGGAACTGTAATATACAAACCTAATAAACTGTCATGTGAAAATTAAGTGAATTTGAACAGTTGCTTTTTAGAAAACAAAAAAAAAATTGTTTATCCTTATAGTAAAGTGTTGCTTATCATGATGACAGAAAAATGAATATATGAAAATAAAGAAAATGGCAGTTTGGTGGGAATTTCTTTTGCCATTACACTCTTTTTCACCAAACACAAGTGCTGTCTGGAATCCTCAGGAATGGGTGATTTTTTTAAGTTATAAAAAAGTAATTGTTCCACAAAGAAAATTATTTTAAAAATAAGTGTGCTGTACTGCATAAGTACTATTCCTGGTGGAAAATTAATGGAAATCATTTAATTATGCCAGCTCTTGTATTTGGTGCACAAGAACAGTGGTCTTCAACCTTTTTTTATACCATGGACTGGCTTGATGATGGATAATCTTTCCATGGACTGGTAGTGACATATATGTATAATTTAAATGTATTTGGATAAAGAAAGCAACAATAAAAAGAGTGATTTAATACAGAGAAGAAAAGTGTATAATCTTTTGACACTCCTGTCTGGGCTCCAGCCCGACCACACCCTTGCATGCTTAGTCCCCTTGAATCAATATCTATTATACTATTATCTCGTCAATATCAACTCATTATAATGTAGAATGAGTGTAGAATTTGAAAATTAGTTGAGATTAGAACATTAGTGGAAAATTACTACAAATAAATAAAAATATACATTAATTGTAAAATGTACTTACGGTTATGATAGATAAAAGTACATTAATTATAAAATGTACTTACAGTTATGATAAATAGTATTGAGTAAGTGAATATTTAGACAAATCTTTTTAAAGTCCAATATTCAATTTATCTATTATATAATATTAAACAAGTTAATTATTTCTTTGCAGCTCATAGCAAATGTCCATGGCTCAGTGGCTGGGGACCTCTGCACACGACTCAAGTCAAGATCCTTATACTGCGGTGGGTTTCCCAGTGACTGGGGTGGGAAGCAGTTGGTTAGTTCTCACTCTCTCCTTCCAAGTATCTCAAGCGGGTTAATGTGGGCAAGGCTGCATTCCCACGCATCCTTCCCAATGCAACCCTTCTATGTCTTCCTAGGTCTGCCGCAACTTCTGTGACCAGGGGCCTTGAACTCCAAGACAGTCATAATGCATGATGAAGCTCTTTAGATATGACCAAACCGTCTAAGACGATAGGTGTACAACACTGACATTATATTCTCAATACTGAGCTTTGTTAAGAACTCAGATGAGGGAGTTTCATACTGAGGCTTGGTGCAACAGACCCAAGGAATCATCGAGTGGTCATTGCAGCAGGTCAAAGGGAAAGGTTACTGAATAAGAATAACCAAAACGAAGGTTGGAAATGGAACGATAATATTTATAACAGAAACAACATACAAGATTCGCCAGCGGTGTGTTGTAAGTAATCATCTGCTAGTGGTGAGCTAGAAGTGAATCAAGATGAATCATAAGTGAATCCCATAGCGAATCCAAATGACTACCACATGCAGTATATTCTACTGTATTTATACGGATTGGGACATACCCATTATAGTCCATATGTACAGTATAGCACACATGTAAATGTTAATTTGGTTTTCATCACATATTGTTAACCACTTGACCTTTGAATTGAGTTGACTTATCAGGTGCATTACAAACAACCACCAATTGCCCTTGTACATATAAAAATAAATTAAAAAAATCATATCTATTATAATTCTGCCTAGGGTCTAATAGCGAGCTTGTCTCGCTAAAACAGCTACAACTGAATAGTGAGTTTGATCCTCACTGAGTGCCCCATACTTTCAGCCTTATGCCACATCTAAGCTACGCTTAGAAAATCAAAATATTATAATTCTGCCTGTTCTTTTTTTAGTAAGTTAGCATATGTTATGTCCCACCATTACCCTAGATCAGGCATGGGGAAGCTTTTTAGAGCAGTGGGCTGCATGATTTATGGCTCATCACAAGGCAGGCTGCACTACTGAAAAGATTCAAGGTAATTTTTCGTAATACCTCAACTACTTTCATTACAGAACTATATATATATATATATATATATATATATAAAAACTATATATATATATATATATATACATATATATATACATATATATATACATATATATATATATATATATATATACATATATATATACATATATATATATACAAACTATATATATATATATATATATATATATATATATATATATATATATATATATATATATATATATATATAAAACTATATATATATACAAATATATATATATATATATATATATATATATATATATATATATATATATATATATATATATATATACAAACTATATATATATATACATATGTGTGTAAGCACTGGAGTGATGACTTTTATAGCCCAGTGTTCCTTTGTCATAAATTGAACTTTTGTTCAAAAGTAATGAAAAGACATTAATTTAGTTTTAGTTCTTGAAAAGGTCACCCCCCACACAAATTGAAAATTTTACCATATATGCAATAAGGGTAAATCAAAATATTTGAGAAAATATTTTTCAATTTGCTAACGAGTTTGTGCAGAAAAGGGTTGAAAGTTTTGTGGGCCACCAGGAACCTCTTCTCACTACTGTCAAACGGATAAAAATGACATGCTACAAGTCACAACAGCCTGTACAAGACCATCATGCAAGACACCATTGAAGGTGGACATAGGAAAGAATGTCAATGCAAAAACTGGTTGGACAATGTCAAACAATGTACAGGTATGACAATACTAGAGTTGCTGATGGTTGCTATTGATAGACTTGTGGAGGAGCTTCAGTGTGGCTTCTACATCTGGATCCCTCCCATGATTACAAAAGTCAAGGGGATGATGATGAAGGGTGTACTTGGATAGTACTTATGTATTTTTAACACATTTAACAGTTTATAGCTTTGGCATAACTTACAAATAAACAAAAACAAGTTCCAGAAAGTAATAATACTAATATACTTATATATGATTTTAGAACGTTTCGGCCGTTGTGTGCTCCGGCCTTCTTCAGGTGGTTGGAATGTCGAACTTAACCCTTTATTTCGCTCACTGGGGTAGATTGTTCTAGTTCCACGTGCCATGTTTTAATGGATGTCAGTTATCAGTTATCTCCTGTTAATTCCCCTCTCCAAGTTCTCCACTGCCTTAACCAGGTATTGGACTCACACTCTTTGGGTCCTGTCACTGGATCTAACCAACGCCTTTATCCACTATGCCATGTGCCCTGACATCCATTAAAACATGCCATGTGGAACTAGAACAGTCTACCCCAGTGAGCGAAATAAAGGGTTAAGTTCGACATTCCAACCACCTGTAGAATGCTGGAGCGTACAACAGCCGAAATGTGATAAATATGGCAACAAAGATGAGGACAATAGTCCGAATAATGTACATAATACCTCATCTCAGAAATATAGACAGATAATGATTTTAGAAATTTTGTGTTGGAGTGACATTTTTAAAAAAATAAGCTGAATTAAACCTTTTCTAATTATTTTTTTACAAAAGTTCATCTAATCATGATACAGGAAATTATTTTACAAAAGGTCATAACCCTAGTAAGCATATACCTTAGAAATGGTAGGTAAGTTTTATTTTTTAGAAAAGATTTTTTTTATAATTAAAAATTGAAGTCTTGGTATAATAATAATCCGTGATGACTGTATGATTAACACCTGTCTCTGCATATGATTTATTTCTAATTTAATCATTTAAAAATGAAAACATTTCTTCTTCAGAGAAAAAATTCCTATGAATGTTTCCAAAGCAAAAGATGTTTACACGTATGATCTTCCATAGTGAAAATCACCAATTGGTTAAAATGCTGACAACATTACTTTTCCCGAAATTTTACAAAATTCAAGAAACATTGTACTTAATCATTGTTTATGTATGTGGTTTATGTATGAGAGAGTATGTGAGTGAACAAGTGACAATGAAATAAAATAAAATTTTAAGAAACATTATTTTGCTTATGGAATTAAGCATGCCATTCAAAAAGTCCAAGTGGGCAACAGGCGACCCGCAGTTTGCCCATGAATACCCTAGATAAATAATGGGTCATTCCATTCTGATTGCGAGGAAAGAGGAAAGAAAAAAAATAATACCTGGTTTTAGTAAGAAAAAAAAAGCTTGCAGAAGAAAGAAAGGGGTGGGCACTTCGATGTGGTGTAATGGTTAGCAAGCTTGACTCACTAAGTACTAGTGAGTTTGATCTTTACTGAGTGCTCCATACTTTCAGCCTTGTGTCACATCTAAGCTCCACATAGAAAAAAATGATAACACTCTCATGCATTCAATGTCTGTTTCAGTGAAATGGAAAACCTTATCAATTTTGAATCTTTTCATTTGTACCCTCTTACTTCTTTACATGCATTATGATATTACAATATTTTGTTAAAGTCATTAAGTTGAAATATATAATGATGCAATAAGGGAATTTACTCGGGTATTTTATTGTCATGGAAACTGTAAGGAGCTTATTCGATCATTAAGAATTATGATTCTTGAAAAAATTTAAATAGGAAAAGCATAAAATTATTATGTCGTACTACTAGTTATTATTAACAATTTAAATAATTTCAAACTAATGAGTTTTTTTTAAGATTTGTTCTTATGATATAGCAACACCTTCTATTTGTTTCATTTTCATGACTAAATAAAAAAAATTGATCTCAGAAATATGACATATTTGCTATAGGCGATCATAGCACTCCACAACTTCCTGTTCTTTGTGGTTCTTAGTAAAATTTGTCTTTTTGCTATCTCTCCTAATCCCTGTTCTGCCAACCATTTACACTGGCTTGTTAGATAGGTTATTAACTGTTTGCCACTGTCTCTCTTGCCTCAAATATGTCCTGAGAGAGTCAAATTCTCCAAGCCCTCTTTCCTCATTATTTGTCCCATAACTTTCAACTTTCTCTTTTTGATCCTAAGCCTGTGTCTTTCATTTTTGTACCTATTTTCCTTAAAACGTCCCAGATTGGACTACAAGTCGTGAATTGGGTTACATTTAGAAGGCCAGCATTACTAAATTTTGAATTAACTTACGTCTCATTAGAGACCCAGTTTATTTTGAAGTGGCCCCCAAAAATTTTCAAGTAGCCAAATTCAAAATTTAGTAATGCTGGTCTTTCAAAAGTAGGCCTATCTGACAAATTTAGTATAAGAGATAAGGAAATTGAACACAGAATAAGTTGAGAAATTTCAATTATATCTTTCTGATTCTAAGTATAAGTGTCCTTTTTGTTTCCATTAAAGAATAGAAGAAAGAATGTTGATTATAAATTGATTTGAATCTGTCTATATTTCTGAGATGAGGTATTATGTACAGTATTTACATTAGTCGGACTATTGTCCTCATCTTTGTCGCCATATTTGTCACAAACGTTTCGACGTTTATGCGCTCCGGCCTTCTTCAGGTGGTTGGAATTTCGAACTGAACCCTTTATTTCGATCGCTGGGGTAGACTGTTCTAATTCCACGTGCCATGTTTGATGGATGTCAGTTATCAGTTATCTCCTGCTAATTTTCCCTCTGAAAGTTCTCCACTGCCTTAACCAGGAATTGAACTCACCTTCTTTGGGTCTGTCACTGGATCTAACCAACGCCTTTTTCTTTGTTTTGTCTTTTGTTCTAGTCTATTTGCTTCTTTATTTAAATATTTTTTCCTAAATATTAGGACATTATTATGCACACAATGAGTTGAAACCTTAAAATTAAACTCTAGCATGAATTGTTAATAAACTGGACTTTAGATATGTGTTTTTTTTTTTTTGATTTCATTAAAATTGTATTTGCTTTTTTTTTCTCTACTTAGAAACATGACTGAATAATTTGTGATCTTGATCAATCTAACAGCAGGAAAGCTAAGCCATTTAATTAGAAAAATTATATCAAGTTGATGTAAAAGTCTTCAGAATATTGTACAAAATCTTTTATTCATATAAATTCATAGCATCATTATTCAGTCATCAAAGTATTTTCCTTATCTTTTAATAATTTTATAGCACTTTTCAACTAAATTCTGTATCTCATCATAAAAGAATAATTTTTAAAAAGTTTTTTCTTTTCAGTGAATTCCTTGATTCTTTCA